TCAATATCTGTGCTGAGAATTCATCAGCCATTACTGATCTACTAAGGCTGATGAAATTCAACATAATTTTAATCTAATTCCACTTTCTATTAGGTTTAAACTCTATTCCATATTGATTGATACATTGAAATAAAATGAACAATTTTTGGTTCAGATTTATAGTTAACCTTTAAACAGTAAAATAGAACCGAAATTTGTAAGTATCATTGAATTACCATTGATATATATATTTCAACACAAATTCAAAGAAAAAGGAAACTTTTCAATGTCCAATAATTGTTGTAAAATGAGGTTGACATTTGATTGATCATTGAACTTTTACTTCAAAACTGAAACTTATATTATCAATCGTCTTCCACTAATTTACAGAGATTTTCATTACACAAATTATTTTATTGGAGGTGGGAGAAATCAATCGATTTACCGTTTTCTTTTTTTTTGCTGTTAACCTGTTTAAGGAGCTATAGACAGCATACAAACCAGGAAGAAGTGTGCATTACCACAATTAGGCATAATATACTAGTACAGAGAGAGATGAAATTAACACGATGAACAACAAATAGGCTAAAATAGTTAGTGGGATAAAATAGAGAGTGAGTAAAGAATGTATGAAAGAATATTGAAAATCAAGATCTCGAGAAAGAAAAAAAGGCACATACATCACTGCAAGTGATTCTAAACCATTTCGCTCATCAACTTCTAGCGCGGAACCCAACCAGATAGTTTGGAACTATCAGTTCAAAAGTTAATGAGTTCATGGATTGAGAAAACTCTTACAGCAATCCAGATAGCGCATTGAGTAGTCATCCTAGTGCACAGAAATTATGAACGGATTATATAAAAATTCGATCATAGAATTTCTTATTGGGGTTAAATGAGTTAGAATTGGCTAGTTTCAGACTTTTCAGGGTATTTTCGACATTGAAACCAGATTAAAGGAAATAACAGAATTTCGTGCTACATTCAGTGCCCTAGATTTCTAAAACGCTAACCAAACCTCGTTACTTCACTGTTGTTTAAAAATCACTGATTGATAGTCTAAAATAATGCAAGTAATATTCACGATCCGATCAAGTCAGCGAACTTCCCCGAAAAATGGGTCTTAACTGAGACTGAAAAAAAGTTTTTATTCACAGTGTAAAAGTAATTTTGACACAGAATAAAACTGACATAACTGAACAGAAAACAGATCTTAGTCACAAGACTAGTTCAAACCAAAAATGTTTAGATTATTGACAAAAGTGTGAATTGAACCGTAGAAGTGGATCAGTGATCAAACGACTAAACTTTTACACATTGGGTCGCAGACTTCGGACCACTTGAAAGTCCCTTAAATGCCCTGGTACGGCCGAGAGTGAGGAGAGTCCGCTCTCCCTCTCCAAATGCTCTCACATGCCCACGCGTATATAGCCTCTATCAAAAAGGTCCTGCTCACTAACTTCTCGTGGCAATACTGTTGTTTACGAAATTGAGAAGACGAAAATCGAATGTCCGGCGCTTTAACTAGGCTGGTGGATATGGGGAGTGCACATAGGGGAGTTGGAAAATCTTGATTCCAAACTAATGGTACACATGGGCTCCAGTATCCTGAAGGAACAAATGGCGTATGAACCAATCGTTGGTCATCGGCTTCCATGGGACTACATCTCCTTACGATGCTCCCCTGCCATATGGATCAGACCTTGAGGTCGAAGGCTCCGGGTGTGGGCCCTAAGATAAACCACCTGCTTCGGTTCGGGCACTCGGGCAGTATCACAGCCCTCGCACAAATCAAATGAGACTTATGTGGCGCATATGTATTTGATGCCTCCTTGTACCAATATCTATGTGTTCAAATAAAATAACACAATACTGACTTGCTTACGTCTGTTACCCCTCGTCAAGGATAGCAGTTTACACCGTTCTCAACAACCACCAAATCAATTTCAAAAACACCAAAATAATACACAAACGTTTTTTCAACTACAAAAATAGGAGAGTAGCTGAAGTATTCCACAACATGATCTCAATAGAAAAGATGATCTCACTACACATCCGACTTAAACTATCTATCCAAGATACCATGTCTGATACTATTCACATTTCACAATATTATCTTAGATACAAATTAAACGATGTCCTTTCTCACCGTGAAGGTCACATTTTTTCATCCCTGACCTTGCACACGCACACACACAAAAATTTACATATATGTCGGTTATAAATCACCTTGACCGAAATAACATGATATTGACTTGTTGAGACTTGTTTTTTTTTGATTAATCGCACATAATATTCTTGCATTATTCTTATGTACTATTTAAACTTGGATAAATTTTTGATTTGGTTATTTATTTACTCTAAAGAAGTAGTTTACATTGAGTCAATACAAAGAATATTATCTTGGATAAACATTACAAAAAATGTTACAGATTTGTTAATAATATACAACTGTTAATTTCGTGGATTGGTTGAGGTTAGACATTAACATTGTTGGATGCCGGCTCAGTGGTCTAGTGGTTAGGTGTTCGCGCACGAAACCAGTAGGTCCTGGGTTCGAATCTCGCAGGGGGTGAGGTCGTGGATGCGCACTGTTCAGGAGTCTCGCAATAGGGCGAAATGACCGTCCAGTGCTTCCAGGTTTTCAATGGTCGTCTAGCTTCAACTGACTCATGATTTCAACCTGTGAAATTATGATTTTGTATTCTGTCGTAACGTTTTGGTAATGTAATAAGAAGACGAAGATTATCAGTACTATGTGATGATATATATTAGCGTAATACATTTCGAACAATCTGATCACACATTACATACTTGTTAAGAACATTTATATATAGAAAATTAAAGGTCAATTAGACTGGAAATGGGGGAAAGAGTAGACAAGGATTATAATAATATTGATTTAGGGGTTGTGGAGATTGTTAATTTTTTTTTGATTGAGACCATGAACCGATTGATGATGCTAGACCACCATTGAAAACCTGGAAGCACTAGACAGCCGTTTCGTCCTATTGCGGGACTCCCCAGCAGTGCGCATCCACGATCTCGCTGGCGGAGCTAATCCGTTTCGGGTAGAAACAGGTGTCTACCTCAGTACAATGAAAGATGGTGGCGCAACTTCATGGATTGGTTGAGGTTAGACATTAACACCATTCGATGCCGACCGGCTCAGTGATCCAGTAGGTTGAGCGTTCACGCACGAGACTGATGGCCCTGGGTTCGAATCCCGCTAGCGGGATCATGAATGCGCACTGCTGAGGAGTCCCACAATAGGATGAAACGGCCTTACAATGCTTTCAGGTTTCCAATAGTGGTCTAACATCAATTGGTTCATGATCTCAATAAAAAATTATTGATTTGTTTTGTGCTGATTATTCAAATGAGTATCAGTGTTTGTTTGTTTGTTTATGTATCGATGTGTGTGTGTGTAAATATGTTTATGAATTTAGATTGATTTACCAAATAAGTAGATCATAATAATATTTGTAGATATTAGCCCTATTTTATTGATCTTTGAAGACAACCTACATTACGGACTAACTTTAGCAAGATAATCAGCAAAAAAACAAAGAACACTAGATGATTATTATTTCGTCATGATATGCGACTTCTTAATAATGACAACTTCTAAAAAGATCGAATCTATCATCTTCAGACATATAAATCGGTTTACATTTACAAATCCAGGCACTATAATATCATGTTAAGCCTCCATGATATATTGACATCAATGAAACAGTTTAACATTCAGTATATTAAATTGGATGTTATCTAATAACGCAAATTTGACTTCAATAGTTCAAACCTAAAACTTTATGTAAAGCAATTAGTCCCTTTGATAAATTTCGATAATTTAATAAGACGAAGATTATCAGTACTATGTGATGATATATATTAGCGTAATACATTTTGAACAATCTGATCACACATTACATACTTGTTAAGAACATATAAGGTATATTAAAGTTTATTGAAACCTTAACCATTCAAATATTCAAACCCCCTTTGTGTATTCAAAAACAGTTTGTTCTCACCTTAAACCTACCCTGGTAGTATTAGCTTATTATTCGTAAAGTGATTAGGTGTCAAATTGTGTTCACATTATTATTATTTTTTTGATTGAGATCATGAACCAATTGATGTTAGACCACTATTGGAAACCTGAAAGCACTGTAAGGCCGTTTCATCCTATTGTGGGACTCCTCAGCAGTTCGCATCCACGATCCCGCATCGCGAGGTTCGAATCCAGGACCCGCTCGCCCATGTCGAGTAGAGACAGGTATCTACCTCAGTACTATGGAAGATAGTCGTGCAAATTCATGGATTGGTTTATGTTAGACACTATCACCATCGGATGCCGGTCGACCCAATGATCCAGTAGGTTAAGAGTTCGCGCGCGTGACTGAGAGCCCTGGGTTCGAGTCCCGCGAGCGGGATCGTAGACGCGCACTGCTGAGGAGTTCCACAATAGGACGAAACGACCATGCAGTGCTTCCAGGTTTCCAATGGTAGTCTAACACCAATCGGTACATGATCCGAATCAAAAGCTTAATAATCTCCACAACTCCTATACTGATATCAATAATTGAAAATATTCACAATCAAGAATTTTATTTATGTGTTATACTATTCTATTAACCTCCAAACAAAAACCCCAATCAAATACACTTAAATCTCAAATAACTCCATTATATAGGCAAAATAAATAAATAAAAGTAAGTAAATAAACAGAAAATTAGTGAAACAATTGAGGAAGCCAAGTACACATAGAATAAAAGACAATTAAAAATTGTCCAGTTAAAAATTCTATGAATAAAAAAAAACAAAACTATTTTAAGTAGTATAAACGTCTAGATTCTTTGTTTTTCGTCTTTTACTTCGTCATCTTCTTCAGAAAAGAGTTAATAATACTCAATGAATATCAGCTGTATAGAATTGAAGAAAAAAGTGTATACATAAATAGTGTATTATTAGATCTTATAAGATAAACACTAGAAAATGTCTTTCCTGTATTATTATTATTATGATACATTATTTGGTGTATCATAATATGCATTTAAATAGCAATGAGCTAATTCAGTGACAATTGAACGATCCGGTATCATTTGTGATAATCCATAAAGAGCAGCCTTTATTTGTTGATTGAAATAAGAAAGAGAATAGATGAAGATTATATAATTCTTAATTAAGAATGATAATTAATTAAATAAGAAAAAAAGAAAGAAAGAGATATTCAATGTCAATTGGATTATTTGTAAAATAACTCTTTGCAATGAATTCTTTTAGATACAATGCTCTCAAATGCCTTGGTACAGTCGAGAGTGAGGATAGTCCGCTCTCTCTTTCCAAATGCTCTCACATGGCCACGCGTATATAGCCTCTGCCAAGGAGGTCCTACTCACTGACTTCTTGCGGCATTACTATTGTTTACGAAATTCAGAGGACGAAAAACGAATGTCCGGCGCTTTAACCAGGCTGATGGACACGGAACATCCCAGTTAGGGGAGTTGAAAAACTTTGATTTCAAACCAATGGTGCACATGGGCTCCAGTATCCTGAAGGAACAAATGGTGTATGAACCAATCGTTGGTCACCGGCTACCATAGGATTGCATCTCCTGATGTTGCTCCACTGTCTTGTGGATCAGACCTGTAGGTCGAAGGCTCCGGGTGTGGCCCCTTAAGAAAACCACCTGCTTTGGTTTGGGCACTCGAGGAGTACCTCAACCCTCACACAAATCAAATGATTTATGTGGCACATATCTATTTGGTGCATCCTTGTGTTTGAATAAAATAAAATAAAAAATACTATAGCTTTGAGCCAATGTGTATCTAATAGTTTATTTGCTCATGTGTAACTGGTTATATTGACCACATAAATCGAGTTCTTTTGAAACACATCTTCAAACATTACTCTGACTGGCTCTTTAAAGGATTGTGAAAGTCAGTCGAAAACTTAATTCTAGAGCAATCTAGTCAATTCTAGTCACTCCACTTCACCAGAAACCTTTTAAAAAAAATCATACATACAACCAGAAAAGTTGAGAATGCAAATGAAAAATTTATGTACAACAGGGGCTATTGCTGCCTACCAGTTTAAGCTTAACCTTTGCGTACAAAAACAATATGTTCAGTCCTTTATTCTTCAATGGTTTTAACCTCGCTTTCTATCTTCCATAATCTATCGTTTTTATTAATTAGCAAGTATTACAAATTTTAATTATTATGTCCTGAATAGCTATTGAATAGATGATTATTTCTACCTTATCACTTTTTTTCACTAGCCGATTGTTACTTAACTTCCGTCTAGACAACATACTACTTCTAGCTTCTTTTAATTAATTGGTACCTTTCTATCTCACTACAAAACAGTTTTGCCCCCAGATGCCCTGGTACGGCCGAGAGTGGGAGAGTCCGCTCTCCCTCTCGAAACGCTCTCGCACGCCCACGCGTACATAGCCTCTGCCGGGGAAGTCCTACTCACTGCCTTCTCGTGGCGGGAGTGTTGTTTACGAAAATGAGAGGACGAAAAGCGAATGTCCGGCGCTTTAACCGGATTCAAAACCAATGGTGCACATGGGCTCCAGTATCCTGCGGGAACAAATGGCGTATGAACCAATTTTCGGTCACCGGCTACCATGGGACTGCATCTCCTTACGATGCTCCACTGCCTTGTGGGTTAGACCACTAGGTCAAAGGCTCGGGGTGTGGCCCCCTAAGAGAACCACCTGCTTCGGTCTGGGCACCCGGGCAGTATCATAGCCCTCACACATATCGAATGAGATTTGTGTGGCGCACATGTATTTGGTGCCTCTTTGTACCATTATCTATGTGTTGAAATATAATAAAATAAAAAAAAACTACAAAACATTATTTTAGCCAGTAAAATTGACTATAAATACGACTGTACAGCACAAGTCCATGAAGTCACTGACAAGTAGACTGAGTCATGTTGGTAGGTGTAGACTACCTGGTTGGGGACCACGAGATGATAGCAACCGATGGTTAGAGACCCTGAATGACATGGCTCAAAATCGTTTGCAATGGCGCAGGTGCATCCACTCTTTGTGTTCTCCCAAATTCTAATCTTCTGAATTCTTCATGTCCCTTTTTTTCGTCTTTCCAAATTTGTTTCACTGGATTATACTCTTTAAATAACATCTCCAAACCCTAATTTTCCCGATTACTGCTTATACTCTTGCTATCTCTACCACTACGGGATTTGAATCGACAACTGCATCTCTGTGCTAAGGTGATGTGGCAACTCGAACTGATGTACGTACGTACGAAGTTCTACGTTGTTACTGACTGACTGTACAGCTTAAGTTAGTGAAATCGTCGGAAAGAAAAATTTCATCGCTGAAGTACTATCTTTATTTTTCAATGATGAACTATTTCTACAATTCACAGTCAGTCAATTACAATATAGAACCTGATACTTATGTACATCGGTTCAAGTTACTATATCCTATTTTATCATAGAGAGATCAAATTGTTAAGTTGATTTCCAGAATAGTGGAGGTAGTAACAATAAGGTCACTTCACATACAGGAATGAATACAACAGCAGAAAATATTAATATGAATGTGATAGACTTGAAACGGGTAGGTTACAGTTAACGGATCTAAAGGTGTCTTGTTCGATATTTTGGTTTCAAGCCCTAATTATCTTCAATGATACACAATGATGAAGAGACCTAAATTAGGACGATATAATTATTAAGGGCTCTTCACATATCGTGTCATTTCATGATTAAAACAATACCGAACGTTTCGTCAATTCTTTTCAAAAGTGATATTGAAAATTTAATTATGTCAGAAGTCATGGTCATCAGAATGTGTATGACTGAAGGTTTAGAAACAACAAACTGTTTGTAAGTATGCTTTTTGGTAAGCTCAATCGGAATCAGTTGGAAAAGTGATTCCTTTAGTTGAAATCTTGGAATTTTTGTTTCTAAGCCCATGTATAAACTTGAAGTTGGTTTCTCCTTGAAACGTGCATCCTAATTGATCAATTCTCAAAGTTACCTACTTCAATTCTTATGATAAAGACTAAAAGGTTTTCCATTGTAATCATTGATGAAAAGATCTGTAAATAATTTTTTAAAGTGTCATTTACTTTCATATTCCCTTGGGGTACAGAGTATAATTACCACATGGCGTTCATTTTTTAAAGCTTTAAAAAGTGTGACGGGCTGCCCAATGTGTATGCTTATCTATATGAATTACATAGGTCTTGGCTTTTGAAGTCATGTATGTAGGCACATCCAAAGGGTACGCCCCATGCATGCAAAAGGAACGTAAGCTGAAAAAATATCTGTCTTATATGTAATAAGATCAGTGGTTTATGCCAATGAGGTCGAAAACGTAATAAAAGGATATGGTAGCAAATACTGGAGGTAGTTGACCATCAAACCCTCTTGAAAGAGGGCTTATGCTTATGTGCATGCCATGAAGTGCAGGGGTAAAAGCCTTTATACCAGTGATATGCATGTAACATGAGAGTGACAGTCAGTTGAAGCAAATATGTTTGAAGGGAGTGATGACCATCTACCGTCCTAGGTGAATATACCTATATGTATGTTACGGGATGCATGAGTAAAAACGTGTGCGCTACCGGTGTGCATGTAGAGTAGATTTTCCCTTGGTGCGATGCCCGCGTACCCAGACCCGGAAGTTTTAATGATTTCTCCACTAAATCACGTCCACGTGGTGGGTTCATGAGCTTTGGAAAGTGTATTCTAATCCAGATACACTTATTGGTTTTACTAATTGAGGTTTCACCAACCTAAAATGGTTGGAAAACCGCACCGTATAGATGCTATTCTACGATAACTATTATCGAAATAAATGAAGTGTATTTCTACCCGTAATTTGATAAATGATATTCTAGCATCAGAACTACTTATTCTTCATTAAAGCCCAGATGAAAAAGAATAGCAGTTTTTTTCATTTTGTCACTTCGTAGTGTAGGGTAAAATGACGCTGCCAATCAGGAGAGAGGGAGGGTGCTGTTCTGCGGACGCCGTCGCGGGCCTGAAGCTGAGGTGCTAGCTGGGGTAGTCTGGTGCGGAGAGGTGGCGTCGAGTGGAGTGTTCTGGCGGGGTGGCGTTGGCTGTAGCGGCTGCTGGGCGGACATCGGATGTTGATGGCTCAGCAGGCCGGTGAAGCACGGGTGTTAAGCGTCCCAGGTGCCGGGTGGATGTAGGATGTTGTTACTCCGGCAGGTCGACGGAGCTATGGAGTTCAGCGCGCCGCAGACTCGAAACTTTAACGAAGAGCGTAGCACAGACTGCAGAGACGAAGAATATAGCACGGGGAGCATGAACCACCGCAAGAACGACTGCCTTAAGGGAGGGGACGAGTGTGGTGCGTGCTATTTATACTGATATAAGTAGTATATAATGCGAGTCAGGAATGTAATGTCTGGCAGCAGAAGATGGGGGAAGATCAAGAAAGGAAGAGCGGGGATAGAAAGCAATTGGTATGGAAATGCAAGAACAATGAAGTTGGAGACAATTATTGAACATTTTGCAAATTCGGTAGTATAGTATGTTTTTTTTTATTTTACCAAGTAACTCTGTAATTTTGTGCTAAATAGTTCGATTGTCCCAACCCGTGTTCTGATTATCATCATCATCACCACTGGAACTTACACTATCAACCACTATTATATTTAAGGATTCAATTTTATCTAGGCGACAATAGATTTATTTAACTCATTTATCACGTACAGATCCATGCAATTGGCTTTAAGCCACACTCTGAATAAAAAAAATTATCAATATCAACCAGTCACCTAAACTGAAGTAGATAGACTCAAGGATCAAGGCTGAGGACTTCATAACTGGAAGTCGAACGCCTTAAACTCTTGAGCTACTTTCTTATGTAAACACCAATATAACAAGAACAGAATAAAAAAAACCCAACTTACTGAACCTTCAGATTTTTTATTTGGTTGTTTCATTAATTCTTTAGCTACATCTTTTACATCTTGAATAAATTGTTCTGCACAACCTTTTGTTGTATGCATATCAGTAACACATAAATGAATCGCTGGTGGAAATTGTAAATTATTTAAATTCCAACCACGTCCATTTGGTTTATCTGATAATAAATGACTTAATTTATATATATCAAAATTATTTGAACTAAATGCTACAATGGAAACATTTGGTTCACCAATTACAAAAATACCCGGTATTTTACGTAATCTAAATGAAATAAGAAAAGATAATTATTAGAATGGGTTTTTGTGGAGATTTATAAATTTCACTGGTTGAAATCATGAATGAATTGAAGCTAGACTACCATGGAAAACCTGGAAGCACTAGACGGCCGTTTCGTCCTAGTATAGGACTCCTCAGCAGTGCGCATCCACAATCCCGTACCCCACGAGATTCCAACCCAAGGACCTAACAGTCTCGCGCCAGGCGCTGGCCGGCATCCAACGGTGTTAATGTCTAACTTCAACCAATCCACGAAGTTGCGCCACCATATGCCATTGTCATCAGTGAGTTCCTATCTCACAACAGACCTGGGTGAACTCCACTGAGGAGTCCCATACTAGGACGAAACGGCCGTCCAGTGCTTCCAGGTTTTCCATGGTGGTCTAGCTTCAATTGACTCATGGTTTCAACCAGTAAAAGATAATTAATAAGATTTCATAGATATTTCATAATATCCTAATTCAGGTAAATCTATGACAAATATAACCTTTAGACTAAACTAATCTCCACAAAATCTCTTCAACAAAAATACATTGGTATTTGATGGCTAGAAATAACAAGGTAGGGGACACACTTCTTGATCTAGGTTTTCTACTAATTAGCATTGGTCATTAAGGTGTGTATCTGAGATACTCAAGTAACCGATGAACTTTTGTGGGATCTAAACATATGTCACCTAGCTTCACATTCTGAAATGTTACTGCTGAACTATTCAAGCTATGACTAACCTTCTTATTCGAATCTTACAGAGTATCGTTTATATCAAACCGGTAAGTAACCTTTGTTGAAAAATGTGAGCTGATACAAAATCTAAGTAAAGCAGAGTTCCCTATCGACTATCTCTAACCATCTAGTATCTCAAAATAGTGAACGCACTGTTAAGTCACTTAGAAATGGTGGCTATAATACAATTTGGTTAATAGGATTTGATCATCACTAAAAGACTAGAAAAACACAACACTGATCACTGTTTAATGATTAATTTATTGTATATGACGATTTGACGTTATGTGGTCAAACACTAGTAGCTTACGAGTGTCTTCTACTCTTAATGGCCATGTTTCGCTGCCGTAAATTAAAATAGAACGGACTGCCACGCAGTATACTCGTCCTTTTATTGATAGACGGATATCTCGCCTTCGCCATAGGTGACGTAAGTTGGCAAAAGCCAATCCGTATGCCTGAACATCGATTACCACGACGCGCAATGCTAACCGGTGTTGGAGATGGTTGGAAGAAAGTTAAGGGCAGCCAAACCAAAGCGTGGCATCAGTCCACAATGTCACTAACTTCTAGTCTGAGCCATGTTGATAGATGCAGACTACTTGACTGGGGTCCGCGTGACTATCGTAATCAATGGTTAAAGACTGTGGGTGACATGGCTCAGAATCGATCACAATGGTGTATACACTTTTTGTCTTCCCTTAAACTATGAGATTAAAATCGCTTCATATCTTTCTTTCTACGAACTAATTCTTTCTTCCTGTACTATATCCTTATATGGAATCTTTCTTTTACATATTACCATCATTGAACTAACTACCTTTATGGATCCGGTGTTCATCTTGTTGTGCTAATGAGGTATGGCAACTTGGATCGATGCATATATGTGCCCGGTCCTACGTTGTAGCTGACTGAGTGACTGAATTTATACGTAAGTTTAACTTGTCACACTGTAAAATATGAACGACAGATGGATGAGGGGGGGAGCGGTGAGAGAGGAATGTCTTCGGCTCTTTTAGAGGTTCTTCTACATTAACATTTAAAACTTTTTAAAAGATGATATTTGTTTAAGTTAATAATCATTGTATCAATTCAGTATAAATTTTGTTCAATAAGACAAGTGTGAATTTTTGTTCAGTGTGATAATTATATTCCCTGTATTAGTTTCATTAACTGGACTTAATTCAGTGTGTGTACTTACAGTAATTTGATGTATTTTCTTTTATATGTGATATTGCTGTGTGTAGAAATTAGTATATAAATGGTCTCAATCAAAAACTTAATAATCCCCACAACTCCTATACTACTAATCAACATGTGCTCACTAGTGATTAGCTTCGTGAGGGAATTCTCGGAGTTTTAGTGAGAAGCCGTGACCAGTGGAGCTAATCCATGTTGGGTAGAGACAGGTATCTACCTCAGCACAATGGAAGTTGGTTGCGCAATTTCGTGGATTGGTTGATGTTAGACAGTATCACCATCGGATGCCGGGCAGCTCAGTAGTTCAGTAGGTTAAGAGTCCGCGCGGGAGAACGAAGGCCCTGAGTTCGAATCCCGCAGGCGGGATCGTGGATGCGCACTGTTGAGGAGTCCCACAATAGGACGAAACGGCTGTCCAGTGCTTCCAGGTTTCCAAAGGTGGTCTAACATCAATCGGTTTATGATCTCAATCAAAAACGTAATAATCTTTACAACCCCTATACTAATGATTGAATTCACTTGGTGTTGTTTTACATGTATCTTCCCCTTTGTTATTTAGGACTCTAGTTGATCAGTCCTCATGTTGGCATATGTGTATCTTGTACAGTTTTAAGTATAATATTTTTGCCTGGTGAAAATATAATTTTGGGACTTGTTTGAGAACGTGTTTTTAACTTACGCAAACCATAACATTTGAGGTCTAACTATCAACCGTATACTATTCAATCTATGAACAGAAATTCAATAATCCAAATTTCTCATTATAAATCTTCTCATCATAAACCATGATCAATGATGCCATATAAGGTAATAGGTACTTAGTATATGAAGATTTTAAACGAAACAAGAAAAAAAACAAACAAAGAAAGTAGCCGAAAATTATCTTTTGATTTTCTATGATTTATCAGTCCAATTTGATACAGATTTAATAACTAGAATAGGAATAATTTAACTTACTCATTTATAATATATCGAGTAGTACTGATGATACGTTTAGTAGATTTGCAATAACCATTTTCTCCATGATACATCATTGTTGCCCAGCAAGTAGCAATTAACGCACCAGGTCGACTTCCTGAGATGAGAATAATTTTATATTAAGTTGAACAGAGTAATATTAATATTCAAACTGAAGAAGTCATGTTTTTATCATTCAGTTTACACATTCAGCGGTCAAACAAACAAAAAGAATGGAATACTCACTCCCCCGCCCTACCACCTACATTCACTAATTTATAACTAGCTTTAAAAAAAAGAGATGGACTAATACAAATCCTAACTGTATAATATATATTTACTCAACAAAATTTATTGAATAAAGATAGAATGTCCAAAAGATCTATCTACCTATCTATCCATCTACAGAGAGCCGATATGAGATAACCAGAAGAAAATGATTAATGATTATCAAAGTAATTATTATTATTTATTTTAACACATAGATATTGGTACAACGAGGCACCAAATACATATGTGCCACACAAATCTCATTTGATATGTGTGAGGGCTGTGATGCTGCCCGAGTGCCCAAACCGAAAGAGGTGGTTTCCTTAGGGGGCCACACCCGGAGCCTTCGACATGGTGTGATCGACAAGACAGTGGAGCGTCGTAAGGAGATGCAATCCCATGGTAGCCGGTGACCAGCGATTGGTTCATACGCCATTTGTTCCCTCGGGATACTGGAGCTCATGTGTACCATTGGTTTGGAATGCAGGTTTTCCAACTCCCCTAGGTGGACTCTTCATGTCCACCAGCCCAGTTAAAGCTCTGGACACTCGATTTTCGTCTTCGCAATTTCGTAAACAACAGTATTGCCACGAGAAGGTAGTGAGCAGGACCTCCTTGGCAGAGGCTATATACGCGTGGCCATGTGAGAGCATTTGGAGAGGGAGAGCTAACTCTCCTCTCTCTCGACCGTATCAGGGCATTTTTGGGGGCAAAGTAATTTATATGATAATCTTGTCTTTCAAACGGATAAGTTTAAAGTTTCGATTTTACTAAAGAAAATATAATTCACTGATGAAAAAAAATCAGATTGAAAAGGTTTATCCAACAAGAATCATTGACAAAATTATAAAGCTGAATCCTTTCACAATTGTATCGAAGTAAAAATTTAACATGATTATTACAATTACTGATAATTCTGATGCTAGAAGCTTAAACTTCCATCAACAAATATTTCCTAATAATGTGTAGAGACCAATTTTGTATGTTCTAGATTATTTGCTTCTTCAGAGTTTAGTATATTGGTCATTCAATGGAATGAATTATCTATCAAGATTCAAAAACTCTTTAAACAATTTCAAATACATATTAAACAGTGAATAATTAGAGGAAACCTGTTGGAGACGTTAGATCCCTAGAACTCATTTGGAAAAGATCCTAATTTTGTAATTTTCTTTTGAAATTTTGAATTTCTTTGTTTTCGCGGCAAGAGTGATCTTTTCACCTTCATGTCGTATTTACCATTTGGAAGAATCTTAAATGCCATTGGTCCTTTGTGTCTTTTAATATGCTATTTTGTAACGCTTCCCAAGGACGGTTTTGTGCTGTATATATACGTTTTGATTTGTGTCTGTTGTTATCTCTCATGCTTCTGGCTTTTTGTGGAATATGCTTCCTCGTTCGGATTTCGACTTCTCTTTCTAGTTAGCGGGGTTAGGACGAAATAGAATAGCTAGTTTATTGGTCTTTGGTCACCGAGTCTGTGTTCCGTTCGCAGACTAAATGGACTTGTAACCGCTTCAAAACTAGCAAAACCCAAGTGTTACTAGGAGTGTGTATGTGCTTGATTCTTTACAGATGGTTGAATTATGAAAAGATTTGTTTCATTTCGAGTGGTTTGGAGATGAAAAGAGCTTAATATTCGAGACTTATTCAACGTCAGATCGTAATTAGAGAGCTATTTGATGACAATCGCACAAAACGGATTTTAATTTGTTTTTCATGTGTGAGCTGTTTACTTTTTAAACCTTCCCAGTAGCGCAAATTAGCTCTTGGACTATTGATTTAGCTCTCTCAGTCTTACCTCTTTTTCAATCGATCAATCTGTTTAACATGGGTGAACCCTTAAGAAGAAAATGCTTCAGAAAATTTAGCACCACTAGGTCAGCACTAATGTCAAGTCCGATCATTGAGTCCAAGTTACAGGTATAGTGGAAAACTTTATTCAGATGAAAGGTTTATGGAAAATTTTCAATCGGAAGGTAGTTTATATCAGGAATTGTTTGGATAACTGTGAAAAACCAAGGAGAACTGGATAGCTATTTAAGTACTAAATCCAAGACCTTCAAACCTCATGGTTATTATATTTCCTACAAACAACTGAGTTGAGGATCAACTGGTCTGTTTATCCAACTTCAGTCAATATGAGAGACCTGGAAATGCTCGATTCGACTCCTGGCTGTTGTGAATCCCTAATACTAAACAGTCCAGTACTAGGACGAAACCACTGTTCAACGGACCTTGCTATTCAAAGGTTATTTAGTAGGAGTCAATCTATAATGAATTATTTCTTTAAATGTCAGTATTAATTATTTGAATGTAACAACATCTTCACCTAAATTCAACTATAAGCTAGTTGAAAACTTGCTAAAATAGGCAATGCGCTTTCAGCTGCCAATGTGTAAATTAAGATTGTCTGAATCTTTTAGTTCCGGAAAAATAGCTCATAACATTCCATTTTCCAGTTTATTTATTCATGTCATAGTGTCGTGATACTTAATAAAGGCTGGTATCTCTTGATCCTTTATAACTCATTGGTTGGTGTCCTAGAGATAGTGCAACACAGTAGCTTGAGACGTTACCTTTGTACCAATGTTTATATGTCCAAATTAATAAAAAGGTAATATTCGAAGCTAACTAATTTACATAAAGAAAAAACAATTAAATTCTATATTCATTTTAATATAATTCTTTCTAATCATCAGAAGTTATTCCATTGACAGAGAATATTTTAATGGTAAAAATAGAAAAGAAAAACCCAAAACTGTTTAATGACAATTAAAAGTTTATTGATGTTACCCGTAAACATGTTTATGTAAACATAATGCTTCATCAATAAAAACAACAACAACAACAACAAGTTATATAGAAATCCGAAAATTATTGTGTTTTTTAACTGTCATAATACATAACTTTTATAAACGTGTTGATATTATAAATACTACTAACATTACTACTACTACTACTGCCATTAGTACTACTACTACTACTACTACTACTACTACTACTACTACTACTACTACTACTACTAATAATAATAATAATAATAATAATAATAATAAACAGTTGAACATACCTGGTAAAGTTGATGAAGCATATATGCCACCAGGCCAAGTTGTCTGTGTAAAGTATTGTTTAGATCGGTAATATTGATTTCTATACATTATAACAGATGTGCCTTTTGGTGCAAACCCGTACTACAAAGAAAGGAATGGGTATTGAGTAAGATTAATAATAATAATAATGGGTGGATCTTAGTCTGATATCTTGTACAGATTAATTATGACTGACAGATAAGATTGTCTGGATAAGAAATGGCCCCCCAAAATAATAAATAATATCGTTCAATAATTAACAAGTATAAGTTCATATAGTTAGTTTTAAGCCATAATTTCGATGAATAGAATGATAATTATAATCAACTACAGAAGAGTCTCAAATTTCTACGTCAGAATGAGTTATCTAAATAAAAACAACAAAAGAAAATTCACTTCTTCTAATAACAATTATTAAGACCAATTCGATTTGAACTAAACTCGAATCACATAAAATACTGTAGTGGACGCTATTCACAAGGATATTTGTAAGTAGTATGTAGCGGAACGTAGTATCGAAGTGGTAACAACTGTCAAACAGATTGACGAGTTTTAGTGCATTAAAAGCAAAGCGTTGGTAGAACACTCTGAGACTAGACAAAAAGACAGTTCAGATGGTAGAACACACTGAAAGATGCAAAATAACGATTGGAGGTTATCTAAATATACGTTTCTCCTGTCTATTGTTTTGATTTACAATACTACAAAAAAACATTGAATATTATATCATGTGAATTCTTCTAAAAGATTTAACAGTTTATTATTTCACCTAAATTCTGTGTACTTCAGTAGTGTGCACCTACGACACTGCATACGATCCCATTCGAGTAATGTAAAGATATAACGATATATTCAAATTATTAAGTAGGAATTCGAAGGTACACAACTTCGACCGATTTACCACCATACAGTGTGTTTCTCATTCAGTGTTATTGACGAATTACAGCCTCAATATGGTTGACTCTATACACAATGAGACCTACGTATTTTGAACTCGATCTCATAAAAAAAACACAACGAAGTGCACCATATCATCCAAGAGTTTAAAACTAGATAAAACTGGCTCTCAAATATTCCTTCGTTTCCAATGATTGCTTAAATATTGTCAGTTTATGATGAGAATTACTTTGAAATTTTTATATATTCTTTCAACTAAGTTGTGTGTTAGGTTGATTTCTGACTAATTGATTGAAGATTGTAAAATAAATTGTAATATACTTTGATTTGAAGTAAGAGATGAACGATTTGTAATTAAACTATTAAGACCATAGAATGCAATAGTCAGTCAGTCACTCAGTAACAACGTAGAACTTCGTACGTACGTACATCAGTTTGAGTTGTTATACCATATTAGCACATAGAATACATAGAACGCAATAACACTCAGAGTTAAACATTGTTGAGATAAACTGTCCGTCTACAGCATAAACCATAAACCATAAAACTAAAATAAGACAATATGTAAATATATTCATGTTTACTGAATAACCATTAGTAGATAACTCATATAAAAGACGGTCAGTGGGATCCACAATGCAGATTTAATCTTATCTGGGACTCGTCAGAACCAGTGTTGATGTTTGTAATTATAATTAGAAATCGATATTGTTTACTTTAAAATTTAGTTCTGAATATCAAAAACAGGGTAGCATAAACTTTTATTAATAAGAAAGAAAACGAATCAAGTATTTTTTAAGGAAAGCAAAACTAACCTTATGTGTATCACATGATATACTTGTGACACCAGGCAACCGAAAATCGAATTCTCCAATTGGATAACTAACTTTTTCCATAAAAGGTAAAAGGAAACCACCTAAGCAACAATCCACATGAACTGGTATATTATATCTATGACCTAACTATGGTAAGAAGAAAAAAAAAGAAGATCCTGTTTAAAACTCAATGGCAATCGGTGTATAGCGAGGAAAATAAAGTGTTAATCTAATTCTTCCCAAAACTTAATATACACAATAAGATGCATAAGAAAAATAAAGAGCGAATACGTAATTGCTAAGCCTCTGTAGCCATTTCTGAAAAAGGTTGTTTAACATTTCCGAAAGTTGATCGAGTCGATGCCCTATCAGGTAGTTTGGATCAACCAACATGATTCATTACGATAGTTTACAGTTTCATGAATTGACATTAACTATTGGTTTGAACGCCACTAGATTTCATCCAACCCATTTATTTATCAGTAAGGTAAAGTAGGCGATGGTTAAGAAAATGTAACATATGCTTGCTACTCCCGAAACCTTAGTCGATCAGAATTTATCACAGAATAAACTACTGAATAGGAATATTCAGATTAGCAGTAGTATATATCGAAATTTGATTAGGCTGCTTTCGTTTAGTAAACTGTAGGTTATTAATAGTACGATAACTATGTTGAGCCAAATAATTCTATGATCATTATTATTTGTGTAAGTACTGAGACAGTGTTCAGAATTCGTATTTAAACGCCTTTAACTTTAAAATATAGTTTACCAAACATCAAGATATACAATGTTATGGTAACTGATGTCTAAAGTAGATTCATATATCCTTAATTCCTTCAGAATCTAGCAGCCAATGTACGCCATTATCTTTATAAACTCTTATTATTAACCAATCTGATACAACCAATGAACATTCCACTTGCAAACTCTTACTTTTGCAACAACAATAACAACAACCAATCACTCATGGCACATGAACACAGCAGGTACAACATTCCTATAAGAAGCTATAAACACTTGATTAAATGAATGTTTCGGAAGGAAGAGATGATCTTTTTTTTCTAGGAATAAAACAAACAATTCAACAGTTAGTCAACGTTAATGATAAAACGTTAAAGACAGTTTGTCATATTTCAAAAAAAGGATAGAAGTGATTCATGAGTTATGACTAGGCTCAAATATAAATGGACAAAGAAGTAACTAACTTTAGCAATTTCTTCTATAGGATCAATTATTCCATGGGGAAATCCTGGTGCTGAACCAACAAGCTACAAAAACATTTAGAAATATGATGAAAACTTAGACATATCAATGAAATCTAAATAACAAGTTCACTAAGTACATACATTTCAACTTAGGCTTGAATAGAATTAAAGCCTTAGACTAACATATTAGTATATTCATTTAATTATTATCAATATTTTAACCACTTCAAAAACTATGAATACGCTTTGAATTGTTAATATTGATGAACAACGATGACTAGGCTATAATCCAACTTCGTATGCTTTTGACTTCATGAATAGATCTTAGATTTGATCCCTAATGAGATGATGGATGTGAACTGTTAAAAAGTCCAATAATAGAACTTACTGTTATTCAATGGTTGTTTAGTTACAGTTAGCCCGTAATTACCTATTTACTTACTCCTGTTACTCCCAATGGAGCGTAAACTACTGACAAGCATTCTCCAACCCACTCTCTCCTGGGCCTTTCTTTCCAGGACTATACAATTGGTGTTCATTTTTCTCATGTCTGTCTCCATTTCTCGGTGTAATGTGTTCTTTGGTCTTCGTCTTTTCCTTTGGCTTTGAGGATCCCAAGTGAGGGCTTGCCTTGTGACACAGTTGGGTGCTTTCCTCAATGTGTGTCCTATCCATTTACAGCGATTCTTCCTGATTTCTTCCTCCGCTGGAACCTGGTTTGTTCTCTCCCACAGTAGGTTGTTGCTGATAGTGTCTGGCCAACGGATCCGAGGTATTTTGCGTAGACAACTGTTAATAAACACCTGTATGATTGCTTTCGTAGTTCTCCAAGTTTCCGTCCCATATAGTAGAACTGCCTTGACATTTGTATTGAAAATTCTGACCTTGATGTTGGTTGACAGTTGTATTGAGTTTCAGATGTTGTTCAATTGTAGATATGCTGCTCTTGTTTTACCGATCCGCTCCGTCACATCTGCATCCGCTCCACCGTGTTCATCAATGATGCTGTCTAGATATGTTTTTACATCTTCCAAATCTTCTCCATCAAACGTGATTCGATTTTTGCATGCTGTGTTGTATCGGAGAATCTTGCTTTTTCCTTTGTGTATGTTGAGACCTACTGATGCTGAGGCTGCTGCTAAACTGGTCATCTTCTTCTGCATTTGTTACTGAGTTTGTGATAGAAGAGCCAGATCATCTGCGAAGTCTAGATCGTTTAGCCACATCCTAGCTGTCCACTGTATCCCATGCTTCCCCTCAGATATTGACGTCTTCATGATCCAGTCGATCACCAAGAGAAAGAGAAAGGGTGAGAGTAAGCAACCAAGCCTGACACCGGTCTTTACCTTGAACGAGTCTGTCAATTGTCCTCCATGCATGTAATGTAAATTACAAAATCTTTGATTAGCTAGTTAGTTTTACAAGCCTTTATATAAAAACAAAATATGACTCAATATTGAGTATACGATCAGTATATTTGGTTATTAAGTTTTATGTGTATATAATGATTGGCATAAAAAAAGACGTCATCATGTCAGAAATATTTTAAAAAGGTTAGTGGTTATTCTCAACAACCTAAGGACAAATAATAATTTAACAATACCATATTCACTTGGACATCTAAAAGGTAGAATTCAGTCAAGATTTCGAATCAAATAACATTAAACTGAATAATGAGTTTGTAGGTATCATTACCAAAGTTTGATTTGATAATTTCGAATAAATTGAGGATTGGGTAGATTATAATAAATAAATAAGCATATTTATAATATCCCAATGAGTAGAAAAATGAGATTTTCTGATGTTTTGTGACTTAGTGTAAGCCACTTCTTCATAGAATAAATAAATCTGAAGAAGTGGCTTACACTAAGTTACGAAACGTCAGAAAATATAATTTTTATTTTGACAATCATTAAGTTATAAAGTTAGTAAACCTGTGAAAATATCATCAATAATTATTCCTTTGTAAGAATTTCGCTCAATAAAAAACACGTACCAAACTTTAAGTAAAATAGTCTGACTTTGAATGATCTCAGTCATTAAAGAAGGTAGGATTTGATATGAATATGTATCGGATCAAGTTGATACAAATCACAGTAGAACAGTCAATCAGCAACAACGTAGAAATTCGTACGTACGTACATCAGTTCAAGTTGCCATACCACAAAGATACAATTGTAGTAGTACAATGAAACAACATAAGAAATAAAATGGGAAACTGTTATATCCCGATGAGTATAATGAATGGTATTTCTTGGGATCCATTTATGGATCAATACCACACACGCATATTTTTATCGTATAATAGTTAAATAACTAAACTAATCATATTAGTGTTCCTCTTGTCATAAGCTTTATTTTGACCTATGAACTGTTATTATACGATTTACCATTCTTGAGTTATACCCTGTCTATTAATTACTACCTGCCATATTTATAGCCACTTTTGGCTAAATCTTGTACAAATATTATTTTCCATTTTATAGTACGATGTAGTCTGATTAGTTTGTGTATAAACCCGGTATATTTGAAATAAATGATTCATATCACAGAAGCTGAGATTGGTGTTGTGGACTTAACTGGCCAGGCTAGGCAGGAAGCAGGACCGATAAGTACTCTAGACTGCTTGCACGGGTTTTATGCGTCACTGGTCCGATCGACAATTCACTGCTCTCTAACTGGCAGTATCATCAAATTATACATTAACAAGGCACACAGGCCACAAGTTATAACAGAAACTTTATAATAACCACTATAATGGACAGATAAACGCGGGAGGTGCCTGAAAAGGAAATTGGAGTAGAGGTGGTCTCAGTAACCTGAGAGCATGACCGCAGTGCCCAAGGGACAACTGCTTGAGGTCAATCACACGCGACCTTTTTATGGGTAATTTTTGTGTTAGCTCCGTACTTGTTGAGACCTTACCGCCGGAAAAGGATATCCGTGGGATAAGGTGGGGTGTGCATTTTTAGGGTCGACCTTTTCTAACCCCACCCCTCCTTGTGGGATGGCAGCATCGCTGTCATGCTAGTTGTCTGAAAGAAGGACCTTACTGCTGTCACACCTCTGCACAGTCAGCAGTACGACTTCGCCTTCGGACCTTAGGCTTGTTGCTTTTAGTCTTACCGCTCTTCAACTGACCTGGCTGACATGATAGGACCTTGAGGAACGGTTGTTCTAGCCAGTATAGCTCGGTTGCTTCATCATGATAGGCAAGTCCAACCACCACGTCAAGGTAGCAACAATGCAGGAAATATAAATTAAAAGTAGCGAATAAGATCAGAGAATGTTAAGTAAACTAGAAATGTAACTGTGTCAATTATAAATTATGATTTTCCTATAGCTATTCAAACAAGAAGTCTAATATAAAATAAAGAAAACAGTTAAATATCAAAATAAGAAGAATAAAAGTGACAATAATAGAGCGATTGTTCAAGTAAAAGAGAACAACACTACCAAAGAAACGTACCATACATGTATCATCGGTTATTGATGATTTCATTTCAATCATATCTACTTGATACGTAATAGGATCCAATGGAACATGAATTACTTTAATAGAAAAATAATGTGCAGCCTGAAATGTGATAAGTGAAAAGTAAAAAAACAAAAATCAAATGATGAAAATGAACTGAGTGTGTATTGGGATTGATTGGAAAAAAGGTCAACTCATTATGTTAATTGGTACTTGTCATTAGGATTTATATGTAATTTTGATGGGACTAATGATCAGTTGAGATTATATGGTGGTTGGAGGTAGTCGACAGGAAACCCTGGACCTGGGTTTCGTGCTATTTGGGACTCGTCAGCAAGGTGTAACTGTAATCTTGAGGGAAAGGTTCTCCCTGGCGGATTCGATCTCGTGTCACTCAGCTTCACAGTCAGAGGCGTCACCACTGAGTTATCCGAGCCGCGACCGACCTCCTGTAGGACTGAGATGCCAGGGAGCACCAGTTCCCTCAAGATTACAGGTACATCTTGCTGACGAGTGCCAAATAGCACGAAACCCGGGTCCAGGGTTTCCTGTCGACTACCTCCAACCACCATCTAATCTCAATATATAGTGCACGCCGTGTCGAGTCACCTAGACTGGTGGCCACATTGCAACATGATCGATAGCATTCGATCTGCACTAATAATAAGGACTAGACACGCATGACATTGATTGCCACCCAGTGATCAATCAATTGTGCTTAATGATCAGTCTTTGTATGATCCTAGAATGAATTATCCAATGTACCAGTTTGAGATATTATCACTGAGTTTTTTTAGGCTTTTGATTGATTATTTTATATGACTAAGATATTAACACTGATTGATCGTTGAGTGATAGACCAAATACATGTGTCATTAGTGCTGATCTATTTTTACTAACGAAACTAGTAACAGATCACAATATTATATCAGGTAATAGGTGTATGAACCTAAGAAGTCGCGTTAACTCTAATAAGAAAACATTTGAGGGAGACTCAAAATCATTTATTTTATATTCAATGATCAAACATATAGCGTATTACTGTACAGTCATGATGGTGGTGAGTGGTTAATTCCACAGATATATTTCTTTCCTGAATATCCTAACATTTTTAATGATTCTCTCTGTTTATACAATGTGGCAAACTATGCTAATTTGAATAGATGAATGATTTGTGGACAATTTTATTCCTGATCATAGGACTATTAAATAAAATAATGTAAGAGAATTCAACAAGATAGATAAATTGATGATAGTCTAAATCAAGAACTGATTTGATTCAGTTAGATGATCAATGAAAACTAGGGAGTAACAAACATATGTTTCTATCTGATCTCGAACTCAACAGTTAGTAGGAGATTTGGATGTTCTGAGGATTCAATCCATAATATGTTTATGAGGGTGTACCACTTGTTAATGAATTCAAAAATAGAATATACTTCAGTTTGGGAAGGTGGATATAATTATTTAGAGTAAATAAGCCCCCAAACGCCCTGGTACGGCCGAGAGTGAGGAGAGTTAGTGTTGGGGACGATAGATCCCCAAACTCATATTTTAAATTTTATCGCATCGATCAACTTATGGATTAAATGTTTAAATATTTGTATTGGGGTCAATTGATGAACTGATCGATTAAATGTTTGAATAGCAGTCAATTGATGAACTGTCGATTAAATGCGCAAATAGGTCAATTAATGAACTCATTGATTAATGTTTAAAAATTTTCTATGACAATATCGATTGTAAATAATTGTATAAATACGCTTGACTTGTATGCTTGATCTGATCTGCCTGCCTGACTTGTTATCTACTGTTTGTCTGTAGAATACACTTTCTACACCTTACCCAGACTTCTTGATCAAGTTAGCAGAGTGGGGGACAACGAACCAGAATAGCTATCGAGTCGCTGAATCATTGATCCTTCGTTCCGTTCGAGTAAGACGCATCAGTAATAGCATTCAAGCAATAACGAAACATAACAGTTAGCTCTCCCTCTCGAAATGCTCTCACATGGCCACGCGTATATAGCCTCTGCCAGGGAAGTCCTACTCACTGATTTCTCGTGGCATTACTGTTGTTTACGAAATTCAGAGGACGAAAACCGAATGTCTGGCGTTTTAACCGGGTTGGCGGACATGGAGAGTCCACATAAGGGAGTTGGAAAACCCTGATTCTAAACCAATGGTGCACATGGGCTCCAGTATCCTGAAGGAACAAATGGCATATGAACCAATCGTTGGTCATCGGCTTCCATGGGACTACATCTCCTGACGTTGCTCCACTGTCTTGTGGATCAAACCTTCAGGTCGAAGGCTCTTGATGTGTCCCCCCTAAGAAAACCACCTGTTTCGGTTTGGGCACCCGGGCAGTATCACAGCCCTCACACATATCAACTGAGATTTGTGTGGTGCATATGTATTTGGTGCCTCTTTGTACCAATATCTATGTGTTAAAATAAATAAATAAATAAAAACTCTGTCACTAAATTGCATTTACAACTAAGATGAAACTACTGTCTAAAGCTTTGAAGTTATTAATCGTTGTTTAGATGAGATAAATGTGTGATGAGTTGTAACCTAATTGTTACAAAATGTGAAAATAGATTTATTTTTAAAGTTGTTACAGTATCTTGTGAAATAAGACAATACCTTTATATAATAAAATACAGTAAGATAAATATCAAAAGTGAACTTCTGAAGCAATGAAAATTAGGGAAAAAATCATACTTTATCAAATGCCGGATGAGCTGTGACCGGAATTACCCTATAAGAAAAATTGTGAACGGAATCAAAACTTAAATCATGACTAAAAAGAGTTACATTTAACGATATATAAATATAAGATAACAACTGAAGCACTTTGTGTGACCACAAAAGAAACATGATACTATAGTTATTGTTGAAGGTGGAATTCTTGGAATCCAATGAATAAAACAACCTGATAATCATGTAAAGTGATTTAAAAAAATCAAAGGATGGTGTAATTGTTATATTACAACAAAGATTAAAGGAATGGTTACTTCTAGAGCTAATTTGTGGATTCTTATTGTCAATATTCCTTTCGTCATAAGCTTTCGGTTGAAACACTAATTACTGTTATATGATTTTCCTTTCCTAATCTGTTGCCAGATTTTATTTAGTCTACCCTACCCAGAGCCACTTTTGGGCTTGTTCATATATATTGTTATCTCATATATTATCGTGTGATGGGATCTAGGTTGCCCAAATATAAACTACGTCTGCTTGAAATTTGATAAAGGCTGGTTGGTGACTTCTAGACTCAAGACCAGAGCAGAGAGGGAAGCTGGGGTACCATAGGCCAATAAGGACTCAGCTGGTTTAGCGTGTAATTGGTTCAATTGCAGGACATAGAGAGATGAGAAATAGACCAAATTACAGCCGGGATTCTGACTCAAATATAGAATTTGGAACAATACATTTGAACCAATCTGATCATGAATCTACTTCTACAAAGTATGCAAGTGATAAGGGAAAATAATTTTAAAAAAGGATTGAAATCATCATCAAAATGTACAAAACAACAAACTACATATCTGTATAGGCTTTGGCACAGCTCAGCTTTGATAATTACAAATTAATAATCAACCTTAATGATTGATATAATTCTAAGTTAATTCATATGGTTTTCAGGAATAATTTTAACAGATTGTTGTTAGGTGATTAAAAGTAATCAATAAAAAGCCCTGTCTGTTCTATGTTTCATAATAGTTTACCTTTGTCAGCAGAACTATAATCTTGAAGGAATCCATTTTTCCAGAGAGATTTGAAGTTGAATTACTCAGTATCACAGTTAGACATGGTAGGGGAACGAACCATTCAGATTGCAGCCAACATTCTGTTAAGTTGAGTTGGTTAGAGACATTGAGTGACATAGTTCAACATCGTTCCTGATGGTGTTAAGTGCGTTTACTTCTTAATTTTCCTTAGATCCTAAGTTGCTAAATTACCTAATGAATTACTTCGGACATATGGCATCAATGTCTACAAACAAATTGCCTCAAAGGTCAACAACAGTATAAAAACGAAGATAAAAAATGTTATCCAAAGTGAAGATGAAGGAGGTATTTTAGATGGAAGTATACAAAGGCAGGTTAATGATTGGGGCATTTGATTTTCAATCACTGAGATCGTAGGTCTAGATCCCCACTCTATTTATTTCAGTTAGGGAATTCATGTACTATTACTAGCCATCAAATACAAACGATATGGCTTAAAGATAAGTACATAAGCTCGTGCTCGGCAAATGAGTTACATAATTAGTATATGGAAGCTTACATATTTGGATGTTTGATACCATGTTCACGTGCAAGCTGACGATAGGCCAAACATGCAAGAAGAATGCTTTCTGTTCCTCCTGACGTAGTCTAATGGGTAAGAAGAAACAATAAATTTAGAAATAATACTATGAATACTGAATGAAGTTAGATACTCACACTGTTGGATGATGGCTCAGTAGGTTAGAGATTAAGCGTTTGCGGAAAAGGCCCCGAGTTCGTGTCGACCCTAAAAATGTGCACCTCACCTTATCCCTTAGTGTAAATACTTTTTGTTCAGTAAATGTTCCTTGGATCCACATTAAACTTCTCACTTGGATTGAGTACGTTGAAACTAACTAAATGTGGCAAGTGTACGTTGGTATGCATAACTATCTTGTTTCAACTAAGAAACTTTCTGGATCTATGCACGTAAACCTCTTATTAATCATTTTTTATATTACGGTTGAAGACACCTTTTTCTGCCATTTGAGATGTGGACGTCTCACTGTTCCCCCCTATGTGAATGATGTTGACAACTGTGTGTGTGATAATTTGTTTTTACTTAAACCACTATGTTGATCATTGTCGAGTACGCATATAATTCGTTTGGCCTAGAGAATTAAAAAAGAATTCACCAAGTATACAGTGTACTAGTACGCTAAGCTTTGCTAAAAATTTACTGTTTAACTCGTTAATACTGCACAAGATTAGAAGATATGGTGTTAATTTTAGAGAAAGGTAGACAAATTGCTACTAGTTTTTGGGAAAAGTAGATATTTTGAGGAAGGTAAAAGTGGTAATTTCGAGACATTTCCATTGAATGGGGAAATTTTGGGGAAAATACGCACTATTTATCCCGGGTCAGGGAAAAGGAGATATTTATAATCCATTGTTGCATATATTCACACCTACTTTTTCTTAAGACTTTTCCCAAAGATCGCCTTTATTTTTCCAATTTTCTTTGCCTAGGATAATCTTACTTGTGAACTTTATTCTAGTCGTTTACCAATATAGTTGGATATAGTAACTAGCAGAATGAAAACAAACAGATAATCCCAGACGGTGAGTGTGTTATTTTTTTGGAGATGTAATGAAGCAAAAGTCAGACTACTTGTATGATTCTGTCGACTTGGATGTAGCAGAAATGCAAGTTGGGTACATCCGAGTAAAACAATCCAAATTTAGATCGTTAGAAACTCCCAACGTTCCGATTGCTAAGCAGTTGTTTTGTCTCCACAAATTTAAACTTGTTTGTACTTATAGAATTATACAAATTCAGACAAAGTCACTAGTATCAACCAGTGCTTCAACGCCTAATAACAGTGCAATTTGGGTTCGGTAAGCTTAGTTTGTCAATTGCCAAAGATAAATATGAGAATGACGAAACTGTCAGCTGACGTTGTCGAACTGTCAGCCAATATAGGACAGATGTTTTTGTTAAAAACGCCTACGTTAGGTCATAAGTCAAACGGAATTTGCAGAGGACTAGCTAACATATAGTCCCCTCCGTGGAGATTCGCTTCGCTCAGGTCGCTAAGAACACCTCTAACCCAATTCCCCTTTCAGGTACTTCTAGAAGAAGCTTTAAACGATGTGAGCAAGCGGGAAGTGATAAACACCCTCATATCTCTAACAGCACTCAAGATCAATCATTTTACCTCTTTGATTCCTATTATCCCTCCTACTTGGACTATCAAGCCTAAACGTCCTCCTCAAGTGTCACTATGGCCAACGAGTCTAGTGCGCGAAACACTGTCCCAAGTCTACTGAAACCTACCTCCGAACTATACATTGAAGCCTTTAACGTGCGTACCATATGTCAAATCGACCGACAGGTCTCCCTGGCTAAGACACGTACAGGATCCTAGCGTAGTCATCCATTTGACTTAGCAAAAACGGGAAGCCGACGATATACACCCTCTGTTTATCTGGCGACTCGACAGAAACTTCTCGTGGACTGTCGGGTGTAGGCGTGGAACTAGGTATGAAAGCGGAACAAGCACTTTTAGAGTGGATCCCTATTAACAGTCGCCTATGTGCTGTTCGGCTAAACAGTTCCACAAGAACTCGGAAGGATAGGGACACACGTCGTTGATATTTCATCATTTCTGCCTACGCTCCCATTGACTGCAGTCCGAATGAAGTGAAAGATGAATTTCACAGAAAGCTTTCTGAACTTCTTCGAAAAACTAAGCACTCGAACATAGTGCTTGTAGCAGGTGACTACTTTAATATCCAAGTAGGTAGCTTAAGCCAAAGAGAAAAACATTTAGGTGGGTATTTCGGTTTTCCGGCTCAGTGAACAGATAATGTTGACCGTCTGCTAAAACTGTGCTCAGACAACCGTTTATTTCTAACAAGCACTAATTTTAAACATAAAAAGACATCGTCTAACATGGCGACCCTCCGCACCAAACTAACGATGGACTCAGATAGGTCATATTGCCATCCGTCATCGTTGGAGGGGTTCGATAGAAGATTGCTGCTCGTTCTGGAATACATGTTTGGATTCTGATCATGCCCTAATACGAGCACGCATCTGCTTGCACCTCAGTGGACGAAGAAAAGACACATTAAGAAGACTGATTAGAATTGAACTCAGTGATGATAAGACTAAATGTAAATACCAGGAACAACTAAGGTCACAATTAGGCAATTTTGAAAACGAGGATGACCCAGATATTGCCTGGTAAGATATACGAACAGCTGCGGAAATAGCGGTGGCATCTATTGATGATTTTAATCAAAAGGTCGTGAAAAATCAGTGGATTTCTACGACATCTATTGCACTGATAGATTTTCGTAAACTTACTCCATCAGGTTACGAGCATGATGACAAGCGAGAACAAATCAGACCAAGGGTAGCTAAAAGTCTACGGAACGACCGTGAACAGTGGTGGGCAACGAAAGCATGAGATGGAAAAGGCAGCGGCTGTAGGTAACACCAGACAGCTTTTCAGACCAATAAAAGAAACCAAAATTAAGAAGTCAAGTGTAAGTGAGACGATCTCAGAAAAAAGACGACACTTATCTACTCTCAGCCCAGACGTTTAGGACGATGGGTGGAACATTTTAAGGAGCAGTTCAGCTGGCCTTTAGCTACTCTACAGCTACACACAATTACCGACTATAATTGAAGTTCAAAATGTCATAACTAATCTGAAACAAGGAAGAGCAGATGGTTCAGATGGATTAACTATAGAGATTTTTAGAGATGAAAGTCCAGTTTTAGCGATTAGGTTGACTAATATTTTAGCTAAAATCTAGGAGTTGGACGTTATCCCGTCTAACTGCTCACAATCACTGATTGTCCCAGTATATAAGAAGGGGTCTAAATCATCCTGTGATAACCATGGTGGGATTAGTTTTACTAATACTAGCCTCAATAATTATCGGACGTCTAACTAAGACTCGTGAACTGCAAACGCGAGGAAATCAGGCTGGCTTCAGGTCTAGTTGCGGCTACATCGACCACACATTCACCATTTGCCAGGTTCTAGAACATAGGCATGCTTATCGGCGTCCGACAATGATAGTTTTTCTTGACTTAAAAGTATCATTTGAGTCAGTAAACCAAGAGGTTCTGTGGCAGTGTCTGTTACTGAAAGGTGTACTTCAGAAGCAAATAAACCCTGTGAAAGCTATTTACTCGAACACTACCAGTCAAGTCAGAGCCTATGGTGAAATATCATCTGATTTTGCAACCTCATGTGGTGTCTAGCAAGACTGTCCACTACCGCCATCTCCGTTTAATTCCACCATAGACCTACTGATGGAAATAACGTTCTCATCGTCCGAATTTTCAGAAACTGATCTCCTTCCAGGAGGTCAACTGTTTGGTGAAGACGCTGATAAAACAGTCTTTTGGTAGCATTCAGCGACAATGCCTGGGTGCTTGGAATGCATTTCTCGCCTTCTAAATACAAATTGTAGCTTCAGGACTGGCCTGCGCCGATACCTAAACTAAAAATAGGGAAAGAAGTGGTCGAACGCGTCGACGACTTCACCCATCTTGGAATTGTGACCAGCTTTAATGGGTTGGTGTCTGACGAAATTTCAAAAAACTCGCCTGGCTTTTGCAAACATACATCACCTATGGAGATGGTGAGATATTCGTCTATCAATTAAGGGATGACTATGCTGCAGATTATTTCGTTTTGTTTTACTTCAAGGCTAAGAAACGTAGTCATTTAGGGCAGAGGACACTCATAACTTACTAGTATTTGATTACAGATGTTTTGGAAATATTACTCCCATCTTCCGGGATCACAGGGTAAGTAATATTGAGGTTGGACACAGAATATTATGGAATGATGGTAAATCAGTTAATGAGGTTGAGAATCTTCATAGACTGAAATGGTTTGGACACGTAATACGCATGCTCACCCGTCTATTACCACTGCGCACATTGCTGACTAGTGTTGGAGACGGTTACAAAAAAGTTAGGGGTGGCGAAATCAAAACGTAGCACCGGTCCATAAAGTAACTAACTTCTAACCCGAGCCATGTTGGTAGATGCAGACTACTTGGTTGGGGTCGGTGTGACTATTGTAATCAGTTGTTGGAAAGTCTGGGTGACATGGCTCAGAATCAATCACAATGGCGTAGGTGTATATACTTTCTCTTCCCTTAAACCGTGAGGTTAAAATTAATTTATATCTTTGTTTCTCCGAACTAATTCTTCCTCCCTGTATCATATTTTCACATTAAATCTTTTTTACTACTCTTGAAGTAATTGCTTATATGAGTTCGGTGTTTATCTTGTACTAATGAGGTATGACAACTTAGACCGATGCATATATGTGGCTGGTTCTACGTTGTAGCTGTCTGACAGATTGAACGAATAAACAGATTTTACGTCTAGTACAGAATATATACCAAATACTTTCAAGGATAGAACATTCACATCAGGTTTTCTTTTTATCACAAAACGTTGTCCATGTTGATGTTGAAAAACATATTTACTTTAATTCCTAAACATCTTAATACTACTTTTAAAGTATATAATACAACTAACAGTAATTTACAGATTATTTGAATTAGTTCTATGACGTAATGAACATCAGAATTTTGATGAGTTTCTGATATCATTTGTCCATGAGGTCGTATGTACATGGATCCTAAAGAGGGAACAAATGCGACGTAGAGCCCCAAATGCCCTAGTACGACTGAACGTGAGGAGTCAGCTCTCACTCTCGAAATGCTCTCACATGGACTGAAGTATACAACCACTGTCAAGAAAGACTTACTCACTGCCTTCTAGGGGTGATGATGTTGTTTAGGAAATTGAGGTGATGATGGAAAGCGAATGTCCGGTGCTTTAACCGGGTGATGGATACAGAGGATACAACTAGGGGAGTTGGCAAACCTTGATTACAAATTAATGGTTCACATGGGCTCCAGGATCCCTAGAGTACAGATGGCGTGTGAACCTACTATTGATCACCGGCTACCGTGGGACCGCATCTCCAAGACGCTGCTCCACTGCTTTGTGGATTAGACCTTTAGGTCAAAGGCTCGGGAAGTATCCTCTTAAGAAAAACATCTGCTTCGGTTTGGGTGCCTAAGAAGTCTTTTAGTCCACACAAAAATCGAATGACAAAATGTGGCACATATCTATTTGGTATCTCCTTGTATCGATGTTTGCATTAAAAAAACCGGGGTATCTGGTCAAATGAAAGACTTCACTCTTATTCACTAAACAATCTCAACTTTTTATAAGGTATCATACTATAGAAACATACGTATTGCTGTGCTTTGACGCATATTTGAGTATGATAATGTTTACCCTTAAAGGAGTCATATGTCTGTTACAATATGTGGAAATCAAGTTTTGTTAGTCTGTGATCCTTCTTCCCTATTTGTAATCGATTATTTGTTAATTAACTAGCAATCCATAGTTATACTATTTCAGGTGAACGTTTTTTGTATAAATAGTATCTTTGATTTCATAATATACATTCGCATATATTCAACCAATTCGTTAGTAGTTCTGTCTTTTGAAATATACTCTGTTATGATGTGAGGCTTATGTGCCACAATTAAACTATGTTGGTAATCACATGTCAGCTAAGTCAATCAAACAGTCATAAAAATCACACTAGTAGGTTTTAATGCACATACAATTCAATGAATTTGAAATAACTTAAACTTACAGTACCGCATGCATCTTTATCTCCATGGAACATTGTAACACACATACGTACAACCTCAGCTTCCATTCGTCGAATGTCAACAAAAAGCTCCGGATGTAATGGATTTGTCCAGAGGAATTCCTTATAGATCTGAACACGGAATAGACAGTGGAAAGCATATCAAAATTGGTATTATTAATCATCGTCATCATTAACGTACGCAAAGTGGAACCTGACACGTTTGTGCATCGGTTCAAGTTGGCATATCACATTGGTACACCAAGGCAAAATTATTTTAATACAAATTTCAGAGTATTAGGAGTAACAGTATCGGTTGTAGTAAGAGAAGTTTACGCACAGAAAAATAAAAAAGTGTACGGAAATTTCGTGATATTATCAAGTCAGAGATTTAAACATAATGAAAACAGATTTGTTTAGGAAAAGGCCAAGGACCTAAAACTTCAGTCTGATAAATTTGGCACTTTTTCTTAAAGTAGAAGACCGGAAACAAGACCTTTGTGTGGTGGTTGGTGGGGCTTACTTAAATCTGAAGATAGTTTTTACGGTTTAATTGATGGATGTGTGGCAATTACTAAAAATACTGGGTGGTTGTCGTGCTGCATTATAAATGTATGTAAGATATGTCGACTATTGAATTTCAACCTTGTAGTCTAAAGATAATACACTTAATGCGACAGATAGAAGCAAGAGGTTCGATATCTATAGAGGTTGTGGGCTCACACTGCTGAAAAGTCCCGGATTATAATGACAGATGCATTTACCTATACTAAAGAATGAGTAAAATAGAAAAGTACGTACTATACTTGTTTGATGGTTAAAAGTCACTTGATTTTTCCAACTAATGAGGATATAAGCACATTGTTATAAGTGACGAGAAGCCGAACAGTTTTAGTATACTGAGTGAATATTAGTGTAAAAAACAATTTAAATATTATATTTTAAACACAGAAACTTTTATAAAATCATAATTTGTTTAAACAAACAATTGGCAGATTCCCAACCATGATAATTACTTGTGATAATTTTATCTTTAAACGCGATAATAGATAGGTGTGAATGTTGTTTTACAAAGTAGTAAACATTCGTATGCTGTGAAGTGTTGACAAAGGGAGTAGATAAGTCTAGACATCATTTGAAGATTGATTTGTGGTTGAAATTGATATTACTTGTCTTCGAGTTTTTGAGTAGATCGACATCGTAATCCCATGTTAGAATAGACTAAAGGCTAGTTAAAACCACTTTTGTCAATTATACCTGACAAAGTGGAAATATAATTACCTATAAAATCATTAGTTTGGTTTGGTTATATTACGTAGTTTTTATAGATTATACAAAGGAATTAAATTGAGATCAATAACCATACAAGTCACAAGAGACCAGTTTTAGAGTTCCTAAAGGGAGAAATGCTCTTCATAGATGATGCCCTTAAGCTTCTTTCCAATCACGAGTGGACGCAAGGTTTAGACAATGTAAGTGGTTGTTAGTGATTTATATTATTTCTACACGGACTAGGGAGCATACTGTTAGCTATCAAGTTATTCTTCATTACTTACAGTTCAGAAGTGCGACTACACATGGACAGAAGAGTGCTCTTTCGAATGCTTACGTGTCTTTTATCACGATCTAATTACAGCTATGACCAATAAAGCTGAAAGCTTGGGTACACAATAAAATTTAAAGTAGACAAAAAGTCTTAATCAGTGTATAATCAGTGGTAACTTACATCCGTGCACAAAACTGTAAGAGCATCATCTCTTGGGTAAACGCTTCCAGAAACAAAGCCTTCGTTCCACTTTATATATTCTATAATACATTCTACAACTGCATGTTATGAACAAACCCAATGTTTTATACTTCCGGGCACTTGAGAGTACATTCTCCTAAAAAAATTCAGATTACTATAGTATGGATTACCACAGTTTGTCCGCAGATAGGAAGGTTCTTTTCAAATACAATATGTGAGGTTTTTTTATGAACCTCCTTATGTATTTCTTTTGAAGCTTCATCTATCTTCTTATTAATGTACGATCTTATGAAAGGGGTCTTTCTCACACAGGCAAAAAAGGAACATACAAGCCTGCCATCAGATATTTCTTAACAATAATTGCTGTAACCATCACTTACCGAAAACTGACAAAATGAGCATAAAGGTTATAGATGATACTATTAAGGCAGAGAAATTGTATTCACACAAGAGGTCTATATACAGGTTGAATCCAAACTTTGCTGCCGAAACTACATCTAAGAGCTGGAAATTGGAAAGACGATGACAAACAATGTACTTACTAAACTATCCATTCGAAAGAACCCAGACCTTGAAACTAATTATAGCGCGGTTTCATCGATAGTGAGAATACTGCACGTTGCATCAGAAGAACAAATGAGGAATTAGAAATGTTTCGAACTGCAAATATTGGACCTTATTGTGACATTTTCGTTTTTGAAGTCTTGAGGGAATTCTTGGTGGCCACCAACTACACTTTTTTAAAACCAATTTTTATTTCTATGGAAATAGATATCAGGTAGCTCACAGCTTTTGTAATTCCTTTTCTTTCCTCTTCTTTCAGTATCAAATTTTCCCCGAAATATTTATTTCACAGTGTTTATTTCAGTTCTCTCTGTTTCACTCTCCGAGACATTTTTTCTGTGAGGGAAAAACTGTATCAGTTTCAGTTTGGAAAGGACAGGAGGCCTGATGGCCTGTGTTAGTCTTGGCAAAGGTGGTTCCTCAGTTGATCCAACCTTCTTTTGAAGGAGTCGACGGATGGAGCCGCAACCACGTGCTGAGTTCAACTCGTTGATGATTGGATGGGAAAGTCTATAGTCAGCTGACAAGTAATTTGTTCTTGGCTTGTGAACTTTTTGGAGTGTCCTCGTAAATTCTCTGTTTTGGAAGACGAGAAAAATTAGGGCATATCAGGTGCAAATTTGGCACCAAGCAATTTGCAAACTATAATCAAGTCTCCTCTAGTTCTACGATATGACAACGGGAAAAGGTTTAGCCTGGCCAGTCGAGCATCATACGGGAATCAGCTTGGTTGTTGTTCACTGAACCTTTTCCAGAAGCTCACCGTCTTTTTTTAAGCAGTGGCTAACTGCTTGTATGCAGTACTGAAGTTTAAGACGTACGAACACTGTATACAAGGTCAAAAACGTTTTAGCGTTGACATGAATATAAGCCCTAGGTATTGACCATAACGTTCTAAAACCTTTGGCGGCTATTGCACGGCAGTGTGCAGTAGTTTTTAAGTCTTGGCTAAAGATGACTCCCAAGTCATTATTTGTCTGGACGACAGGTAGCTCAATGTTATTCATCGTGTATGTATTTGTATCTTAATGACCGATATGCATCACAACACTCTTGGAAGCATTTATCGGCAACCGTCGGGTTTGAGACCATTCAGATAATTTCTTCACGTCACTTTGGAGTTCTAAGCTATCATCCTTACATCGTATCGTTCTCCATATCTTGACATCGTCGGCATATAGCAAGACTGATGATGATAGGAGACGAGGAAGGTCATCTACATACAAGAGGAATAGCACTGGCCCCAAAACTGTACCCTGGGGCACTCCACTAAGCACAGTTTCCCAGCTAGATAACTTTGAGTTCATCCCTACTCTCTGTTTGCGCCCAACCAGGAAGTCTTTTATCCACATCAATAGATTGCCGCCAATTCAGACAATTTTTGGCTTATATAACAGCCGGTTATGTGGAACTTTGTCAAAAGCTTTGCAGAAATCAGTGTATGCTAGTATAGGGGTTGTGGAGATTATTAAGTTTTTGATTGAGATCATGAACCGATTGATGCTCACTAGTGACTAGCTTCGTGAGGAAATTCTCGGAGTTCTAGTGAGAAGCCGTGACCAGTGGAGCTAATCCATGTTGGGTAGGGACAGGTATCTACCTCAGTACAACGGAAGTTGGTTGCGCAATTTCGTGGATTGGTTGTCGTAAGAAACTATCACCATTGGATGTCGGCTCAGTGGTCCAGTAAGTTAAGCGTTCGCGCGGGAGACCGAAGGCCCTGGGTTCGAATCCCGCGGGAGGGATCGTGGATGCGCATTGCTGAGGCGTCCCACAATAGGACGAAACGGCCATCCAGTGCTTCCAGGTTTTCAATTGTGGTGATCTAACATCAATCGGCTCATAATCTCAATCAATTTATGCTACGTCTACATGTAACTTTTGGTCCTTAATAGCCCACCAGCTTTCACGAGCGACTAATAAGTTAATGAGGGGAGAATAACCTATTCTGAAACCGTGTTGTTTCTCCGAAAGGATCCGGTTTTCATCGGGGTACTTAAACAGCTCCTTCCGAATAATGTTTTCTAAGATTTTAAAAACCACTCTAGTTAAGCTAAAGTGTTGGTACACGACCCAGCGTTACAGATAGATTAAAGACTCAAGGGTTCGCAACGAAGTTAGGTAATTCGTTCAGTAGTCTATGATTCAATTCATCGGGCCGCGTGTATTTATCCATGTCAAGCTTGTTTAGCAGACCAAAGACATCGAGTTCTTTAATGGCTTAGCTATCCAGTGTATGCGTGGGGAGATTTGTATGCAGTGACGGGAAGGGTGCTTCCATGGTGTATACACTGCTAAAGTAGTTCGAGAACACTTGAGCCTCACCAATGATGCGGCAGTACTATCTCCCCATAATGCAGGAATGTTTACTCTTCTTTTCGTCCTTTAATTTATATGTCATAAAATTTTCCCTTGCCATAATTATACATCGAAGACAGACGCAAGGTATTGTTCAAGTATTTGGATTGTCTTGTGGAAGAAGTATATACATATCCCTGAGCGATTTTTTTACGGATACCACCACTCAGTGATCAATCAATCGTGAATACATCTCAGTCTTACAGGAGGTCAGTCGCAGCACGGATAGCCTAGTGGTATCCTCCCTGACTGTGAAACCTGGTAACACTGGAGGGAATCCGTCAGGGAGAACTAGTTCCCTCAAGATAACAGGTACACCTTGCTGGCGAGTGCCAAGTAACTCGAAACCTGAGTCCAGGGTTTCCTGTTGACTACCTCCAACCACCATTCTAGCTATTTATGTAAATATATGATCATTAGAAGTATATGACTTGATTTGTCAATCAAGAATTCCCGAAATAGTACAATTTAGAGTAGGTAGAATTCGATGAACATTTCTGAACATATTATATTTGAAATTCTTAATAAGTCTACAATCAAGTAAAAGGAATTGTAGAATTATGGTCTACTATGATATTAGTACTGCTCTAATAATAGACCTAATCCTAAATTTGTAGATTTGTCATGATATAACTGCCTAATCTATAAGATCTTACGTGGAAGTCACACCATCGACTACACCAACTCACTGTATCGTATCAATTACCAATACATGATGTAGAACAAGGTTAGGCTAGAGAAAGAACAATATATTTAATATGGTTAAAAGATATAAGATAACAGGGACCACGTCTGCATGGCTGATCCATGCCATTCGATCAACTCCAATTCATTCCATTCATTGTTCGCGCCTTCTCCATCGTTAGGTATTTCTCCGCGTTAAATATTGAATATCTATTTTCTGAGTAGTCTCGTGTTCAGCTTTGTGGATTGTGCGGTTATTGTTCAATGCCACTACAGAATCCTAAGTCAATACGGATACTACAAAATATCATACGAGAATATTAACTAATCATCATTTCTTTACAATGTATCACGACATTTAAAAAAATACATTTGTTCCTACTTTTTTAAAAGTGAAAGTTGTAGCTGTAAATAAACTCCCAAAATAAATAGCACAACAATCGCTAGCTAGATTAGATCAGACGACCCTTGATATATTGATAGCCTATCAAATATATCTTTGAACCTCCTTGCTTCTTTCTTTTGATTTTATTTGGTGGGTACGATTCATATTAGGTGTTACTGGTTGAAGCGATGTCAAACTCCGAATACCTGTGGCATCATCAAAGTAGTATAGATTTGCATTATATATTATAAAATATGGTTTACTAGTAGTATGAGAATCTACTTGAAGGTAAGTAATACTAATGCTATGAAAATCTTAATTAATGTCATACATGAAGCATTTAACAGAAATTTGTACATGATATCATGTTTGTATTGCAAAAATTTAAATCAATCTGTAAGGTTAACTCAATTGAGTATGTATAGTAGAAATTTTATTTCTTAAGAAGAAATTCTAGATGACTGAGAATGAAAATATATGAACATTTAAAATGTGTCAAGTAAATGATTATAACTATAATATTGAATATAGAGATATATGAGCTTTGAATTTGAATTTGAAAAGTTCAAGAATTGAATGTTGAATGACAATCATCTAAACAGATTCAGGATAGTATTTTAATTACTCATTGTTAACAATATTGATATCTTAAACTACAAACAAGCAGTCATCAACGAGGAAACTCTTAGGTACCTTTGTATAGGTTTTTGTAATCAACGGAATATCTCTCTTATTGTGTAGGTTTTAAGACGGTGAGACAAATTATGAAAGGTTTGAGATGAAAGAGTAAGTAGTATTGTTTGAAGACTGGTAGATGAAGACAAGTTTCAAGTGAATATAATTGAACGACTAACTGGAGTTGATGATAGTCGTTATGTAGTGATAAAGAACACGGGTGGGAACAATCGAATATATTTAACACAAAATTACAGAGCATCTCAATAAGATCTGAGAACCATATATTAAATTGTTAATTTGAAAAATGCCTCAGACTTCATTGTCGTTGAATTTTCATACAAATCGCATTCTATTCCCATTCTTGCTTTGTTGATCTTCCCCAATCTTCTGCTGCCAGACATTACATTCCTGACTTGCGTCATATACTACCGATATCAATATAAGTAGCACGCACCACAGTTAC